TATTTACATCCATTTGCAGAGCTCCACAGACAAGTGACTGCAATTCGCTTTGTTTTGCCGGAAACAGACGTTCACTTCTGGTTTCTGGCAAAACACAGTGAACAATGGGTTTGCTTTAACAATCGACAACGTTCATTTGGACCACTGCGTTCATTTCGCTGCCACAAAAAAAAAAAGGTCGCACGGTGACCCACTTTGCAACAGTCCTGACTTAACGACCATAATTGGCAGTCTCAATTATGATTGTAAGTCGAGGACTACTTGCAGATGGCCAAAATAAGTTTGGAAAGCAAAGGTTCCCATTGTCAAAAAAAAAAAAAGGCTTACAATTTTATAGCCTCAGACCTGTGACAAGGAACTAACAAGCTACTTATTGAGTGCACAACTTTTCAGGCTGCCTGGATTAATCTCAAGAGAGCAGAGACAGATGGGTAAAGCTTGGGTTTTTTTCCTTGGGCAGCAAGAAATAGTCTACTTTTTGTTCAGTGTGTTTGTTCCTTGAGGTATACAAAATAGCATCTCCCGCCTCTTTCGGCTCCTTGCCGTCAAAATGACGAAGAGAAGAAACAATGGCCCCGCCAAGAAGGGCCGTGGACATGTCCAGCCTATACACTGTACCAACTGTGCCCGTTGTGGATAAAGCTATTAAGAAGTTTGTCATCCGAAATATTGTAGAAGCAGCTGCAGTCCCAAGATATCTCTGAAGCGAGTGTCTTTGATTCTTATGTGCTACCCTATGTGAAGCTTCACTATTGTGTTAGCTGTGCTATCCACAGCAAGGTGGTGAGGAACCGATCCCGTGAGGCCCGGAAGGACCGCACTCCTCCTCCCCAGTTCAGGCCAGCAGATGCTGCACCGAGACCACCCCCTAAGCCAGTGGTGGCGAACCTATGGCACGCGTGCTATAGGCGGCACTCAGAGCCCTCTCTGAGGGTACGCGCGCCATGCCCCGGAGATGGCAACTGTCCCTCTTCAACCAGCCGCCCACTAACTCGCTGAGGTCCCACATGGCCGGATGCATCCCAGCACCCATGTGCTCGCTGGCCTCTGTGTGCAGGGGCCGATGGTATCAGGCAGCAGCCGCCCCAGTCCCTGCCTCACCTTGCCCTGTGACAAATGGCACCCCCACCCTGCCTCGCCTTGCCTCGCCTCACCTCACGAGCCTCCTGCCCACCGCCCCACGTGCCAGAGACCCCCTGGATCTCCCTCAACCCTGCTCGGCCCCCACAGATGTCCCTCCCCACGAGCAACATCGAGGTCATCATGCCCACCTTGGCCACACCCACCCAATCTGCCATGACCATCACAGCCACGCCTACCTGGCACCCGGCAATAAGTAAGTGGGTTTTGGGTTGCAGTTTGGGCACTCGGTCTCTAAAAGGTTCACCATCACTGCCCTAAGCCTATGTAAGGAGATATTTTAAAAGATGTCAATGTCAAATATTGAGTCAATAAATACATTTTACAAGTTAAAAAAAAAGCATCTCCCGTATTCCAGTAGTTGTGACTCCCAGGGGACAGAGGTCCCAAAAAGGTCTTGGCCACCCCAGATTGACATTAATCTTGCTGGTAAACTGGTCTCAAGCCATTGGTGCCTTTGTAGATTGTAGCTATCTTGTTTAAACTGGAGGAAGTTCGGGTATGGGAACTGCTAGAATAGAGTGACGGAAGAAGGAGGCGTGGCTGTCTAACCAGCCAGAACTTTGAAAGCCTCTATATTTTATTTTGTGAAAGTATGCAGCTCCTTAGTTCTGCCTCTCCCTTGTATAAGGGAGTCCTTATACTCCCTTCTGTAAAGAAGTCCTCTATTCTTTCAGACGTTGCTGATGGAGAAAACTTCTCAGCAGGAAGGAAACCAGGAAACGGTGGGTTGGTGCCTTTCCCCCCCCCCCCCCACTGAAGTAAATAAGGGAAGAAGTTTAAAAGAGAGGAGAGATTTTTTTTTTCCTACGAAGCATCAAGGGGAGAGAAAAACAGGCAAATGGAAAATAAGTATAGGGCAGTGGTGGTGAACCTATGGCACACGTGCCAGAGGCGGCACTCAGAGCCCTCTCTGTGGGCACGCGCGCCATGCCCCGGAGATGGCAACCGTCCTCTTCAACCAGCCGCCCGCTAACTCGCTGAGGTCCCACATGGCCGGATGCATCCCAGCATCCATGCGCTCACGGGCCTCTGTGTGCAGGGGCCGATGGTGTCAGGCAGCAGCTGCCCCAGCTCCTGCCTCGCCTTGCCCTGCGACAATGGCACCCCCGCCCTGCCTTGCCTCACCCCGCAGGACGAGCCCACTGCCCCACCGGCCAGAGACCCCCTGGATCTCCCCCAACCCTGCCCGGCCCCCACAGGCGTCCCTCCCCAGGAGCAACATTGAGCTGGCCATGCCCACCCTGGCCACGCCCACCCATCTGCCATGACCACCGTAGCCACACCCAGCGGGCCACGCCCACCTGGCACCCAGTGATACATAAGTGGGATTTGGGTTACAGTTTGGGCACTCGGTCTCTAAAAGGTTCGCCATCACTGGTATAGGGCTAGCAAGCTGAGGCTGAGGGGAGTTGAAGCCCCACACAACAGGCAACTGGAACCAGTGTTTCAGGGTGGACTAATTGTGACCGGGAGACCGAATAGGGTTGGGTGTTCTTGGAACAAGGAGATGCATTTCCTTATGCAGTAAAAACTCCCGGCAGAGGGTGGAAGCAGAAGCAGACATGGCCCCCTCAGGGATGATGAAATGATTCAGAAAAAGAGAACTAATCCACCAAGCCCCCACTTTAACCTGTAAGGGGAAGTTGGAA